TGATGTTGTATTTTTTGTAGTGGGAAACACAACATTGAGATGTTTGGACTGAAATTACTCCACCTCCCTCAATTTCCCTTTAATAAAACCATTAGGAAAAAAAAATTAAAGAAAAAGAGAAGGAGAAAGAATATGGATTTGACCCCATCTGATCAAATTATCTGGTGTCTGAGACAACCTTACTATTTCCATACATGCTGATACTGAAGGGGAAAGACTCTGCATGTCCGACCCAAGCCCATGAAGGGCAGAAGGGGTGTTCGTGGGAGGGTTGTTTGGGGTTTTCTGCATAAGTCGGAACTAAGGCCCAGCACAGATACCACCTGCAACTGGTTACGGAGAACTAGGTCCATCCCTGAACCTACTTTGGCCATTTTGCTGATAGTTCATTTCTAATTTATGAAACATGTCATTAATCCTCAATCTGTCAGTCCCTTTTTGACAATAATTCGGTCTGACAGTTGAAGGATTAATATTTATTAAACACCCTGTACTTCAGAAGTCAAAGAGCCGCTCAATTCATTTCCACAGAAAAATATTCTGACTCTTAGCAAGCGCTACCCCCAATCCCTCCTTGGTCCCAAAAACTGAGCAGCAGAGAGCCGAGCGGCACATAAGAGAAACCAAAAAAGAAAAAAGAAAGGGGGGAAAAGGAAAAAAGTAATTACAAGAAATCCTTCAAAAGACTGGGTACTGGATTCATTTAAGGTATTCCTCTGCCCAAGCATATGTTTTCTCACTCTTCCTTCCCCTTCCAGCCCCCCTCCCTTCTCCACTCATAAATAATTCATAGACTGATAAATATGCAATTTCAAAAAAGTGCAGACACGGCAGCACTGCATTAAAAAAAAAAAAAAAAAAAGGCTTGTGCTTTTCACACAGAAGACCTGAGCTGCACTTAACGGATGACAGATTTTCCAGTATTCAAAAGCTGTATTATATATATGATAGGAGTGAGACGGTATTTCTGGTCTGATTCCTTGCTAGACATGTTGTGAATTGTCTGTGGAAAGCTGTAACATAAAACAAATGGTGTTGTTGGTTTGGTTTGGTTTGATTTCCCTTTTTATTACTATTATTATTTTTATTTTTCCTGCTCTTTCCATTTCTTTTTGAAATAAAGACGAGCTGAAAGACAAGGCCACCCCTCACGTTCCCCGTCGGGCTCCCCTTCGCCTCTCCAGGTCCTTGCAAAACCAGAGCCTGCGTGTGCTCGAGGAAGGGCAGCTCGCGTGGGCAGGCGGCCTCGCAGAGCCATGGCCCCGCTATGGCCTTGCTCCTCCACGAGCCCCTGAAGCCATGGCCACTCGCTGGTCATCGTGGGGATGCTCGCCGGGTGCTTTAGCTCGGCGGCGACACACGCTCACTGCCATGGAGGTGAAGCCCACGTGCAGCCGCACGCAGGCCGGGGAGCCGAGCAGAGCACCTCCATTTTGTGGGCTAATTGCTTGATTACCAGGCTGAAACAAAATGGAGGAAGGACTTTGTGTAACGGCAGCTCGGGGCTGCCGTGACAGAGGAGACGAAGTATCAGGAGGGGGGAAAAAAGATGGTGCTTATAGAACATCAGTCATAATATCGCTAATACAAGATGGAATATTAGAAATATAGATAATGTGTACACATTCCTGCAGCTAATAGATGCACAGGGCTCGCATATAGTTGATCTTTTGGTTTAGCAACAGTGAGAACATAAAAATGATTTCAGCCCGTGAAGTGTAACCTTTTGGATGAACATTTAAATTGGAAACACCATGGGTAAGAAATAGACTTCCGCGTTTAATCTGGACTGGCTAGTTGGAAGCCTATATTTACTGTACAATAATTTCAAATTTAATTAAATAACACTGCTGATGCCAGTCACATCAACACTGTAAAGATGATTAATTGCATGCTTAAATGAAATATGAACTGCCTTAAAAGTAACATCGATGCGCAGCCCCTGGAAGCAGACACCATATGATAGATTTAAAAGCAAGCGCCTACCTGCATCCCTTAGAAACACGCCAGAGGGAAGGAAAAAAAAGGGGGGGGGGACCCTACATCTGAATGTAACGAGAGGACCGAAATAACCGCTTTTTATGAGGTTCTGTTTCGCAAGATGGGTTTGATTTCACACCACCGCCACCCCGCCTTTTCTTGACATGATTTTTTTTTTTTCCTCCCGTTCCGAAGCGCTTTCCGCGCAATCTGC